GGAAGATCTCTTTTCTCCTCTCAGTGACACTCAGCACTTCTTCACAATTGTTTCCTCTTCATGAAAGTGATCTTCAGTTCTTAGAAAACTGTTTATGACTACCAAATTTTTCTATTTACGTATTGATTCATTTTTTTAACCCACATGCTAGTCTGACCACTAAAGTTTTATGTGTTTCCTCTAAAGGGTTTCTCAATCACAGTGTTTTTTGAGAAGCACATCAGGAGTATAGGAACATTAATGCATAATTAATTAGACCCTTAGTATTGGACAATCCAGCAAGGCTCAAGATGAGCCAACTGAAGTGCCATTGCTGATACAACTGCACTAGAACACCTGCTGTTTCCGCATTGCACCAGGTACATGAAAGCCTATTTATGGTGGTCCAGGTGGGGCCCTCTGCCTAAAGTGTTGCCCCATCATTTATCCCAGTGACATTCCACTCATCTTTCAAGGCTACATTCTGTCTGACTCCTCCTGTTGCAACCTTCCCTTCTATTCTAGCAGTTAGGGCCTGACTTCATGGCTCTCTGGGTTTGTATTTGTCTGCCTTGAGGAAAGTCCTTGAGGACAAGTGTTTTTATTCTGTATCCTGTGCCTAGTATCAGTATACTCAGTGCTTGCTACTTGCACGTTCTCAGTAAATATTTGTTAAGTGAAGATGAAGCAATGGATGTTTCTTTATTGAGTATCTATCTTAATACAAAGTTTTAATAAAGCAAATTCTTTCTAGAAAACTGAATTAGCTCTTATATTTGCAATGCTACATTGAAGGGTGGATGTTGCCTAATATTTTGTTTATTAAATAATGACTTTTTGATTTATTTAAAATACTGTGTATATAGGAGAATATAGAATTTAGACAAGGAAATACATATCTGAGTGCCCTTTGGTTTTGAGCTGTTTTTATTTTGTGGGTCATATTTTTATTTGGCATGATGAATTGTCAAGAGAAAATATCACTTGTCTAGGGCAAGTAAAGTAGGTTGGTTTTACTTGTCATTGTAGCCCAGATTTCTGAAAAGTCAATGGGAATTCAAAAGTCACAATATAATGTAAAATTATTTTATCTATGGTGGATTATGAGCATATTAAAAAAAAAGATTCCTAACTTTGATAATTTTATTCATGAAACACTTTCAGTCCTGCTGTTATAGAATAATTTGCATATTAATCATGATGCTCAGTGAAATGTGGATAAAATATTTAGTAAACATCATCTGGTAATCTCAGAGGTAGTGATACACTAACAGTCATTGATTATAAATCAAGTATGTTGGTTTTTCCTTGAATTCATTTAATGTTAGCCAGTAGGTATTACTTGCTTTGTGCAAATTATTCATTTTACAAAGAACTAAGTGCCTACCGTGTGCCAGAATTTCTGTACTTAACTAAGGAGATACAGAATGAATAAGACACACCATTTGCCCTCAGTAAACTTGTAGGGAAATCAGACATCTACATGGCAAATGAAAATTCTGTAAGAAAGATGCTGAACCTGCCTGGGAGGAATAGGGAAGACATCTTGAACCAAGTAGCATTTGCTACAGATATGATTTCAATGGATTCTGTTTGTTGGACTTTTTCCAATTATAAGAAGCCCAGATGCACTCAAAACCTCTGATATAATGGCAGATGATGAGGGAAATCAACTCTTTTTGACATTTCTCCATTTCTTTTTTTTTAAAGACTTATGTATACAAGAACTGGGGTACAGACCAGTTAATGAGCTTTCTCTCCAAGTAAGTAGGAAGGTCAGGAAAGCAGTCTCAGCAGCCACCCAGACAGGTCTCATGGAGAATCGGACATTAACTCTGGCAGCACGAGAGTCCCTCTGTTGTCTCATTAGACGTGAATGCCATTGTTCCCATCACCAGTGAGCTGCAGTGCGGCCACTCATCCATTTTGTCTTTGCCTCCATTGCAAAGGTAGATATATGTATATCCCCATTTCACCCTAGAGAGAAAATATCTTTCAGCTTATCTTTATTCAGCAGTGCAAACCCAATTGAACAGTTTTTGCCAGCCACCTCATAGGTTGCTTGCCAGCCATTGGACACTTGCTTATGGCTTTGGTATTTATCCTGGATCTAATCAATTGTGGTCAGGGGTCACATGGGATAGAGCGGCACTTCTTAAACTTTAGTAACCATGTGAATCAACAGGGACCCACATGAAAGCTCAGACTCTGATTTAGTAGGTCTGGGGAATGACATGAGTGCTTACTTTCCAACAAGCTAAGTTCTTAGGTGACACTGATGTTGCTTCTCCACTTCACTTTGAATAACATTGATAGAGCACGGTGACCTGTGTGAATATAATTACTCAGACAGCAGGCACTCAGTGTGGGAGGTTGTGAAATGGCACTTCATGTGGAGGATTAAGAATAAATAAAGGAGTGGAGGAAGATGCTTTGTTGATGTCTGTGTGTTTAATATAAGGCCAATTTTGAGTGTGGTCAAGTTAAGAAGACATCTTCAGACCAAAAAGTCAGTATTTAGACAATTCAGGAGCAGTCTCTGAATACCAAATTGTTGGGTTTGGTTGTTAGTCCTTTTATTATTTTAAGCCAAATAAAAACGTGTATTTTAATGTGTTCAGTGCAGGACAGTAAGCAGTACTGTCTGAATTTAAATTAGTCCTCTTCACTTGAGAGCTTGCCGCATAACTCCATTCACAGTGTGTTACCACGTCTGTGTTGTTGGTGAGGACTGGCAGTAGGATCTGCAGTGGGATTTTATTATTAATTATGAGAAGTTGAAAGCCAGAGTCCCTGGCGTGGTCATAGTGTCTGATTCTTTATCACTCTGGTAGTTTCCAGAACCGCATTTCTAATTAATCTTCACTAGAGATCATAGATGTGGTAATTCAGCCTCTGATCACATAGATCTTTGACCTGTTATATCTAACATCCAAAAAGTGAGTGCTTGTTTCAAAGCATTATTACATTCGTTTTTCTATTTGTTTCATAAATATAATCTGAGACCTACTGATTAAAAACCAGAGGATTTTGTTTTGTTTTGTTTCGTTTTGTTTTGGAAATAGTAGCCCTTTGAATTATGAATAATGTTTAATAGAAGGGAAGTGAATTAAATATTGAAATCCTCTGTTATAATGGCAGATGCATGAGGGAAATCAAGTCTTTTTGACATTTCTCCATTTCTTTTATTCAAAAATTGTGTTCATGTGGTATTTACATCTATTCTTCATTGTTCAGTGTCATAAGGGAATGATCATTTTATATTGTTTTAGTATCTGGCACTCACCCATTTCAAATCATTGTTATTTTCAAAATGAGTTACTTAATTTTTAATGGTCAGTAAAATAAAAATTATTATTTTATACGAATGACTAATAATAACCCACTTTTTTTAAGCCAAAGAATCTCTTAAATTATGTGAGTAAAATCTTGAGAAGGATTTTCAGAATTTACTTTATGTAGGTGATCTTATAGAATTCCAACTCACAGAATAGTTCAACCACAAGAACTTTGGCTTTGGTATTTTAAGCTTTAATCCATAAGAATGCTGTTTTAGTATGTAGAAGTATGTTGAAATGGGGAAAAGAATGCTTAAATTTCTTCTTAACACATGCTTGCTGTGTACTTTGGGCAAGTTATCTAATCTCTGAGAGTCTTGTTTCCTAATCTCTAAACCTGAGATGTTCATACCTACTTTTCAGCATTATTTTTTCTAAAAATAAATAATACATGTAATGCAGCATTAATACAGCATTAAATACATGTAATAAACATTACCATGTAACAGAATAACAATCATTAGATAAACATGATCTTTACAATATTATGACAAAATACCATTTTGTTTTGATGTAAGGTAAATGCAAAAGTATTTTTGTTGCTTTATATTTGCATAGGAAGAACACTAACTATAAAAACTGCAGTGTTTTGAGTTATAAATGTAAAAAGTGTGATTTTAATTGCCACTCAGTTAAGCTGTCTATTCGAACCATTGTCAAAGTGTCCAAAAACCTAAATAGTGATGTTATGTACAGTTTAACCAAAAAAAAAATTATAATCTTCAAAGCGTAGTCAGTAAATTCATCATGCTATAGTAGCAATATGCCAAATAATCAGTTATCAGTGTTGTTCATAGTGAGACATTGAATTAATTCACTTTAATCAAACAGGACTGGCAAAGTTATGCCCAAGTCCTTTTCTAAGTCCCTACAGTCTTTCTAAGAGTGAGGACCAGAAGTCCTCAGTGAGAGTGGCATACTCCACTGTCGCCATTTGAAATGAAGACAGTCAGATACAATGTCTTCCTTGTCAAGTAAAAGGCAGATGTTTTCAATGAACATACGCATGCACACTTCCATATACCTCCACATCATGAAAATACAAAGACATCTTTCTGATGGTTTCCTAGTACATGTCACAGAATCACCATACGGATCTATTTCTAGCAGTAGAATCCTTGATATTTTTATAGTTAGCCTCGCTTCGATTAATAGCAAACCAGAGGGCATCCATTATTTTCAGATAGAGTTTTTGAGCAAATGCTGGCAGAATAGTTTAGTTGCCAGTGTGTTATTCATTTAAAGAAGCATCTGTGGGGCTTTGATGTTATCAAATTAAATGAAGTCAACAATAAGAAGAAGAGCAATGGAAATGGCTGGAAAATTGATTCAAGGGAGAAGTAAATTTAAGGGCAGCAGCCTGAGTATATGAATTTGAGGTGTTGTAAGATTACAAGTTCTACTCTATGCTTCCTTTTTCCTCAAGGAGATTTTCCTAAGGCCAAATTGATTTCCAGAATGTTCAAAGTATTTGATTTCAATATAGTCTGCAAAATGTTAAATCACCCTTGCCAAAGTAATGATTTCCTTCTTTAATAACAGAATCATCATGTAGTTCAGGGCTCATAGTGGTGGAGATATTTAAACCTGGACAAATTAGAGCCTTTTAGCTAGTTTCCTCATATCATTCTTACTCTTTTAAATACATTCAGTATATCCACTAATACTGTTTTCCTCACACAGATCCAGTGCCCCACTTGCCAATTCGTCTGGTGTTTTAAGTGCCACTCCCCTTGGCATGAAGGTGTCAACTGCAAAGAGTACAAGAAAGGAGACAAATTATTGCGTCACTGGGCCAGTGAAATTGAACATGGGCAGAGGAATGCCCAGAAGTGTCCAAAGTGCAAGGTGAGATCATCTTCAGATGGGAAAAAAATGATCTGGATATTAGTGAATAATAACTGTTAATGGGATTGTAGAGAAAAAGATATTTGCCATTTCACTTTAGAAGAGTAATTATACTATATAACTAATCTAAAGATATTATATATAAATGTTACATATTATTTGCATTGCATTTCAGTATTTAAGGAAGTTTAAAATTATGGTTTTGAACTTCAAAACCCTTTTTTTGCCATTAAAAATGGAGATGTGTGCAGAAGATAAAGCTAGTATGAAAATGTTATTAAAGTACTATTTTTAGATTGCCACATGTACTGGAATCACTTGATTAGACAGATTCTAAGTCCCTGCAGTCCTTTTCTATATGTTCCTTCTGCTATTGCTTATCATTTTAGGATTAAATTCAACTGATCATTTCCCTCTTAAAGCTAGTAAAGTAGAAGCTAACACTAACATCAGGACTTAGGGATTTTATGAATCTCATTTTCATTTTTTGCTTTTGATAATGGTGCAAGTAATCAAGAGTTAGCAGGAATTTGAGCTGAGATATTGAAAGGCAGCCATGCAAAGAGCCAGTGAAGAGACTCCTGCAGAGAAATCAACTAGTAATTCTAGCCAGAAAACCCTGGATTTGATATTTTCAGGATAGGGATCTATTAAAGTTTGAAATTATTTCATCTCACTTTGAAAATTATGTGTCTGTCTACATATGTCTTTTGCCAAATTTACTTTCGCATTGTATCTAAATTCTGCAACTCCTTCCTGATGACTTAGCATCACATAAATGAAATTTGAATTTTCAGAAAATTTTTTAAAATTAATAACTGTAACTCCAACTTGAAGTGGTAAAAGTATATTTGAAATCTGTTTATAAGCATAAATGCAATGCACAGATTGAATATGCTGAATCACATACTAATGTATATATAAAGTAAAAATATTCCCTAAATTAATATGTTACATTCTTAACAGTTGGAAGGAATTTTGGGGAATGACCAAATGTCTAAAGATATTTTAGCTAAAGTTTGTTTTTTTCCCTGTAGATGGCAAATTTGTCCACAAGTACTCATTTGCCTTATGGCAGCTTCAGGTCCTGCATCAATTACTCGGTACACTTTTTTTTTTCCATCCCAATGAAGAACAGTGAGAAAATGAGGCCTTTCCCCTTTCTGTTGCCTTTTTAGTTTATTCATCGCTGCTGTTCAGTTCAAGCTGAATAAAGCCAGTAGGAATTTCCTAGTGTTATTTAGTCATTTTACTTTAACACTTTGTTTAGAAGTATACATTATATTTGTTTGGAAAGCCAAAACTCCATTACCAGTTAGCCCGGCTCTAAGGCTCTAGTTTGAGTGAGTGGTACTGCAGCATTATATACTGGGGAAATATTATATGAATTGAAGTAACAAAAAAACATGTATTTGTTACTGTACTCCCTCAACCTAACATTAAATGGCCTGCGGTGTAAGGAGTTTACTTAATGTTCTGACAACTTCCACAATTTTAACAAATGTAAATAAGCAGTGAAGGAAAAATATATATGCTGATTTCCTTTCCACGTAATAACTAAAAATTTGGGATTTAAGAGGAATTGCTCTTAAATAACTGAAAGGAAAGGATCATGGCATTAGTTTATCTTGTGTATAGCAGAGAATCTACTTGCTATGAGATTCAAGTTCCATAAAATTTATGTCAGTTTAAATCATATTTTATGACTAGCTTTAAATACAAGTAATTTCAGGTTTTTAAGCATAAGTCTTTAAAACTTTATATTTTTTAATTGTGATTTTTTTTTTGGTTTGGACCCTAAGATTATTATTATTGTTTTTTTTTTTGCCATTTGTATCTGACAAAAATGTTTATTTCTATCATCTACCAGTTTCATGAGTTAGACTTTATACAAACAGCCAGTAAACTAGCAAAAAATTTTCCACACTGCAACAATGCTAAAGCAAAGTTACATTTTCCAAAGTGATATATTCATTATCCAATTTGTTTCTTTTTTTAATATGAATTTTTTTTATTTTTTACATCATTGTTCATGTTTAAACAATATTTGCTTCCCCCACCCCCTCAGGTGTAGTCCCCATCGAGTTTCCTTCACCAATGCACCCGTGCACCATCACCTCAGTTCCCTGTGCTCCTCTCCCTCCCTCCCTCTGATTCCTCTCCCTCCTCCTCCCCTGCAGGATGTCTCTGATTTAGATCCTAAGATTATATTTTCTGCATGAAACATTTCTATGCCTATAATAGAAATTCCCAAAGATATTACTCAATGAGTTAATGTTTGCTTTATGCTCTCAGTTTTTATTCTCATAAATAATCCTTTAAAATTTATAAATAGGGCCTCCCCGGTGGCACAGCGGTTGAGCACTGGGTTGCGAAGCTGCCCGCGGCCTCTGCAGCGCTGGTTCAATCCCCGGGTGCTCCCTGGCCACCGGAGGAGGGTCCCGCATGGCGCGCAGACCTCTCCTGCCACCCGCTGCTCCCCTCAGCAGTGTACTTCAGTCCTTCTGCCTGCTCTGCTCCCCCCTCTGGCTCTGGTGAATTCTCTCACCCTCCCGCGCTTCTGACTGTACCCAGTGCTTATATAAATAAATAAATAAATCTTTTAAAAAAATTTATAAATAAGGAATATGACAGGAATTTATAAAAAAAGAATAATTCCACTATACCTCCAGGTGAAAAAACGATCATACACCTTCATTTGAATGCTTTTAAATAATGATAATCCATCGTGTTTAAAATATTGTTGTGAACAAAGTATATTTTTGTCTCATCACATCCTTAGATATGATGAGTTCCAATGTGCAATCTAGATATAAATTGTTAAATGTATTTTGATAAAATTTTGAGGTGCTACACAGCAATAATAAAATGATGGTATGTAAATTTGTTATCTCATTTATTTCAAAGGAAAGCGACAGAAACAGGTAATTACTGCCATTTCAAGAGGTAGAAACAGTTTCAGAGAGGTTAAATAAGTGACCAAAAAGAAGACAGAGGAAAGTGAGTTGTATGTTCATTCATAATTTTATTGTAAATTTGAAATTAGAGGAATTTACTTGGTATGATATTTCCCTTCAAGTAATTATTTATTTCCTTCAATCCTGTAATAGAATGCTTTGGGCTAGTGTGCATTAACTCAAGGATGATTAATTTGCCCCTGTTCACATAAAATTAGCACAAAGACCATGTCTTTGAGCTCTTATATTTGAGTAGTAGCTATGCAGCCTATGGCTGCTGAAGAAAGAACTTGGGGTATTAATGTAAGATCTTATAGATAATCCTGCAGTTCACTAGCACTTCATATTACCATTACAGAAGTACAAATAGTGCCCATTCAGAAAATAAAATAGCTTCCCCTTGTCCACTGATTACCCATTTTTACCTTTCCACATTGCTTGAAACTGCCAAATTTGGAGCAGTGGTTATGACTGCTGCTGGTTTTTTTGTTTGTTTTTTTTTTTTTTTGGTGTGCCAATGTCTAGACCTTAGTTGTTAGAAGAGTCTGATTATTTGATGACAAATACTTTTTAAGTTATAAATTAGACTGCAGCTGATGTCCCATTTTTATGACAAATAATTTTAATACATTTTTTTACTATCCTGAATGTTTATTTATCCTGAATGTTTAAATGTATATGACTACATATAACAAGCCATTAAAAAAAAATCAATGGATTGTCCTAATTTTAATATAAACTAGAAATAAGTAAAAATGTTATAAAAAATACTATTTCCTAACATGCAGATACTCAAGTACCATGATATTAAAAGACAAAGAAGCAGGAAGCAGTCCGATTTTTGCACCTATTATAATTTGGATTTGCATTTAAGTGAAACTTAAATATTATCAATGACTGTCTTTTATTTCTGAGATTTTTAAATGAGGACAAAAAGTAGGTATGTATGTGTATGCATATGCATGCATATTTGTAGTTATATTGCTAGAATATTCAAAATACTTTGAAAGCATGCAAACACATTTTGGCTTTATATGTAAAATGGAGTTAGGTCCCAAATATAGTCATTCTGTCCTCAATTTACTAAGTAATTATATAAATAAAAATTTGTTTATTAAGACCATGAAAACATTATTTCATGTTTATATGTACAATACAGTTTCAGTCTATATCTAGATATTTAAAAACACATTTTTACTTATACAAGTAGCTAATGCATTAAAACATTTTATGAATAGAATCATATTTTATACTATGTAGAATGCCTCAAGCATTGCAAAGCACTATAAATGACAGCATTAGTCACCTTTATGACAACCAAACATCGCCCTGCCAAAAAATTGGAAGCATCTCCAAAGGGCTAAAACTTGTGTTATAACTGAGGACTCCTGAAAGGGATGATGTCCAGCAAACTGTGTAGAAAGGAGAATCAGTAAAAAGCTGCCCATTTTCCATGTGGATACTGACAGTGCCAATTCTGCTAAAAGATTTTAAAGCATTTTTAGATGACTCATTTATTTTCATTTTCATTTCAAGTTTTAAACATTGCTTTTTCCTTCTGCAGCAAACTCAGTTTTCACAATAGGGTGCAGATTTTGCTGATGGCAGTAGTAGGGAGACAGATCATAAAGAAAAAGCATACGTCCAATGGCTACTCAGTGTATTTCCTTACCTTAATAGCTTCTCCAACACAATTTATTCTCTTCTCCCCAAAATTGTTCTTCTTGTAGTTTCCTTATCACAGTAAATAGCAGCTCCAACCTCCTAGTTGCTCAAGTCAAGAATTTTTTTTTTTTAATTATCATTGTTTTACATCCTTGTTAATGTTCTGACAGAATAGGATTTCCCCTCAGGTGTAGTCACCATAGTACTCCCACCCCCAAAGTACCTATAGTCCTCCGCCCCACCGCTCCCCCCACTGGATGCCTCAGCTCTATGGTCAGCTCTCAAGGGTTGTTTTTAACATTTGTCTTTGTCTCACCCTTTGTTTGGTTTCTTTAAATTCCACATGTAAGTGTATCATTGCAGACTGTGTCTCTCACA